TTTAACGATGTCTCTGTGTTTCCCCTCTATGGTCTGATTAATGTAAAAATACACCTTTTTAAAAATAATTTTATTTATTCATTCATTTATTTTAATTTGACCAGAGAGACACATACAGAGAGAGAGAGAGAGCGAAAGTGAGAAAGCAAGCCGCCAGGTTTGGGACTTAAACCGTGGTCAGTCTTGTGGGAGTGTCCAGCACTTACCCACTACGCCACCTGCTGGTCCCCCCCCCCCTTTTACATGTCTCTAAGGAATTCATGACTGTGCTAATAAAGCAGAAGACAGGGATATTGAGCGCACAGACAGGACAGACCAAGATGGAGTCGCAGTGGCTAAGTCGTCACAGCCAAAAGCTGGCTGCATTGACTCCCAGCAGCTGCAGCCAACAGCAACCGTTTCTAGTCAGTAACTGTATTCTAACGAGAAGTACAGGATGTTATGGTCTGCTGGGCCATAAAGAGCAAGGTAATAAATCACTCAGATTACCATGTAACCATTTCCGAAACCCCACTTCCTTATCAGAGAGCCAGCCCATTGCTCGGACTGTAGATAAAACCCCTCGCCTCCAGCTCTTCTTCGACAGCCCATCCAGGCCCCTTCCACTGCCCTGGACGCCTTTTCTCCTTCCCTAGTAAACTCCTCTTTCCTCTCCTCCCTGTGTCTGCATCTCTAATTCTTCATGAGCAGAGGGTAAGAACGTCCTGGAGTTCGGTCTGATTGCAAGCAGTCCCGCGCCACTTGGACACGTGTGCCTACTGTCCGCTTAGCTGAGACTGGGGCTGATCTTCCCTGCTGGGGAGGCCTGTCTGCCTGCCTGTCTGCCTGTTCCTCTCTCGTGGGAGGAATAAATAAACAAGCTTTAAAACAGTAGCTCTGCCTTACGTACTACAACTTTACTCACTTCAAGTGTATAATTCAACATTTTTGGGTAAATTTATAGAGTTGTGCAACAATTACTCCCACAATCCAATTTTAGAATACTTCCTCACACTTAGTTGTTGCTGTTTTCAGTTTTGCTATAGGGCACGTACGCTCACCAGGAAAAGGGAGTGAATATGAAAAATCATTTCCCCATCCCCACCAGGGGGCATGGCCACACCACAATCCCTTCCCCTCCATTCTCCTCTCGGGATTTTGTGCACACGCGCGCACGCACACACACACACACACACACACACAGCTGGAATGTTTTCTAGTCGGGTCTGGGACTTGAACCGAGCAGCTGACCATGTGGGCTCCAGCTCCTTAACCACCACGCCACCAGCTGGCCCCTCATGCTCAGTTTTGACATTAGTCCTCTCCCTTTTTTTCTTTATTTATGGTAGAATGTGAGCACGCTCATGTGAGGGTAGGTGAGGAAGAGTGAGAGGCGCACCCCCCCAGGGTCTGGTCACACCGTGACCCCTTCCTCCAGCCCTGCAGCCCTCTGGATCTCATGCATGAGCTCAGCATGTTTCCGGCTGGCCATGCTGGGGGTCCGAACCACGGTCACCATGTGGGGTTCAGCTCCCCTGAGCAGCATGTCCCCACCGTGCGGTGAAGCCAGCTCACCTTGACGTTATTTCTAGGTGAGTTCGCCCATGACGTTCCAGAGTCCCGCGTGGGTCCTACCGCCAGCCCGCACCATGGAGTAGCACTTCACACTCTTAGAATGACCCAAGCACCGCCCTGCTGCTCCGTGCACGTGTGCACAAGTTAAAAGCCGTGATCTGTTACACGCTCTCATTTTCACTGACTCTCTTCTGGACTCTCCGTTTTATAATATACCACAAGGCTCAGAAAATGGGCACGGCCCAGATCCCTCTGGACCTTGGAGGGACACAGGAAAGTGGAGAGAAATGGAGAGAACACCTGGGCAAGGTGGGTACGTCGTGAAGTCCAGGCAAGGCAGGGCAGCCGTTCGGCTTCGCCTCATCCGCAGGCAGCGGGGCAATGCCCAGCCTGCTGCCTCGGCTTGAGCGTGGAGACACTACCTACGGCATCTTTGCCTGAAATAGCCCCTTGGAAACACACCTTCTACCAGCTTCTGGAAAGTCTGTGGTCAGAGAACAGTGGTAGGTGTGTAGGAAGAAGCTTCTGAACTTCCTGAGAGTAGGGGTGTGTCAGAAACACTCAGCCCAGGGTCAGATGCACCTCTCCCCTTAGCTGTGATTGATGGAGGTGCTTGCTGGCCCCTCCCCCTCCCGCCCTTGGTCAGCACAGGGGCCAGAGCCAGCAGGGAGGGCTTTGCGTTGGTCTGGTGTCCTGAAAGGAATGCAGCCTGGGCCGTCCAGTCTGCTGGGCTGGGCGAAGAAGCAGGAGGAAGCAGAAGGTGGCAGTGAGGCCCTGGACGAGGCTCTCCACTGGGGTTCCCACGGCCCCGATTGCCCAACACTCTCTTCCCCGCAAGGCCCCTGGGTTTGTAGCTGGGGTGTTGCCCGCTGCTTCCTCCGGCCACTCTTGCACCTTGCACGGTCATCCCTTAGGGTGTCATGGTGTGGCGGACAGGAGTCTGGGATTTCCTATGCATGGCTGTGGATTCTTGCTGGTAAATTATCACATCTCTCCAAGTGGTGAGGCGTGGAGATGAACGTAGGCACGTGGTGGGAGTCAACGAACACCGTGTTGAACGCCTCTAAGCGGTTCACCAGTGCGTCCACACTCTCATCCACCGCCGTCCCCCAACTTTGTAGTTTTCTTGCTATAGAGCACATGAGTTTGCTAGAGACACACAGAGAAAAGGAGATAGAAAAATCACCCCCCAGGGGGTGGCCACGCTATAATCCCCTTTCTCCCATTCTCCTCTCGGGATTTTGGGCATGCACACACACCCACCTGGTGTGTTTTTCAAGCCACTTGGTCTGGGGCTCGAACTGTGCAGTCAGCCATGTGGGATCCAGCCACCTTAACCTCTATGCCACCTGCTGGCCCATGGTCCCTTTTAAGGGGTTGGGAGGTGGGCAAGGTGAGTCATCATGTACTCCCACTTAGAGACATGGAAACTGCTCTGGCCAGGCTGCAGGAGCTGCTCAGGGCCTAACCTGCCCCACTGTGCCATCCTCACCACCGCAGTCAGGGCGGGAGGGGCCGGGGAACCCTGAGACTCCACTGTCTCTGTGCATTCCTGGGGGAGGGCTGGAGGGCAGTGATGCTCAGGCTGCTTCTCTCCCAGGGGTGCAGGCCACCGGCCTCCGTTTGACCCTACATTTTGTCGAGATAGAGCAGCTTTGGTGAAAGGCTCACGTCCCAGTGCACCTGGTGCCCCGCCGAGCTGTGGGCTCAGTCTGTGTTGGGCAGGTCTGGTTCCTGGCTCCTCCCTCCAGGGTGAAGAAGGATCTCCAGGCACCTGCACAGGGGGAAGGGGACAGGGCCTGGGGAAGCAGTGGCTCTGGGGACAGGAAGCCCAGGAGCCCTGTAGTGAATGGTGAGGGCTCCCGGTCTCTGGCTGCAGTAACCACCCATCTGCTCACCTACAGTTCCCTCTCCCTCTCCCCTGACCACAGCACGCCCGGGGCCAACAGAACAGCATGTCTGAAGCCACTAGGGCTGGCCGATGTGGACCATGGCCCTGCGACAGAGGGACACACTGAACATGAGTTGCTCAAGCTGTCTTGGGCCTGGTCTGGCCACACTGGGTGATTTCCCCAGAGATGGGCAGGAAAGTGGGACGTGGGCCAGGCCAGTCGGGCAGGGCCGGGCCATGGCAACTGATCCCAGCCAGGTTCCTGGGGAAGAGAAATCAGATCCTTCCAGGCCCGTCTGTCCTTCCCTGCTGCCCCTCCCTGATGGCGTCTCATTCATTGCCAGGCTTGTTTGCTTTGTGGATCTTGCAGTTATTAAGTTCTGAGTGTGTGCATGTACCCTTGGTCACACCAGGGCCTGGCCTGCAGTAGGTGTGTAATGGAGGTCCATTCCCCTCGGCTCTCACCTCGCGTTCACCAATGGCTGAGCTCTTTTTCCCACAGTTCTTCTCTTAATTGCAGACTCACTTCCGCTTCTGGCCCTGGTGCCCACCCTGGGCCGTCCTTGAGCTACGCTCATGGGACCGTGGCCCTCCCTAGGAAGAAGGAGAGGCAGACTGAACAGGGAACCCTGGGACCACCCTGGTGGCAGAGTGGCTTGCCCATGGTGCTGCCTTGGGAAGGAAGCTCTGCTAAGGGCCCCACAGCTCATCTGCCCCCCAGATCTTCCGGGGGACCCTCAGTCCCCAGGACTCAATGGCTCCCACCCATCGCCATCAACATCCCTGCCCACTGGCCTCTGAGTACATGCGTCCACACTGGGAAGACGCTCCAAGCTGGATCACAGGTCCGGGGGCTGCTGCAGGAACCTCCCCCACACACCCCAGAGAAAGGGGTCCAGCCCTATGGCCCTGGGGCTCTTCCTTGCCTTGCATTTCCTGTAGTTGCTTTGCATTCTTCTGTTTCTCCTTTGGGGTTTGTGGTGAGTAGGAGGGCGTGGCGGAGCCCGGTCCCTGGCCCTTCCTCTTTGTAGCCTTGCAGGTGTCTTTCTTCCTAAGGAGAGGCGCAGCCTGCAGTGCGTGTTTTGTTAGTGGGTGAGTGTACGTGCCAAAGACAGAGAGAAGAGGGTGAGGAGAGCAGTCCCCAGGCTACCTGGGCACACCGTAACCCCTTCTCCTCCATTTTGTCATTCTGTCGGGATTTGGGGCACAGGCGTGCACACGTGGACACACACACAGCATGTGAGAGACCTAGCTCCTTTAACTACTAAGCCACGGAGCCGGCCCCATCCTCTTCCTGAATCCCATTTCCCATTGCCTTTCCTTAAAAGTAGAGACATATCCCCTGGGGAAGGACTGGCTAGCAGACATGGATTCCCACGTGGGAGTCTTCTTTCATTTTAGAGTTTTTGCTATATTGTGAGTTTGCTTGCCAGAGAGACAGAAACGAGAAATCGCCCCAGGGGATACGGCTGTGCTGCGATTCCTTCTCCTCCGTTCTCCTGCTGGGATTTTGGGCACGCCCACGTGCTCAGTGTGAGTTTGAAGCTGCCGGGTCTGGGACTCAAACCGCTGTTGACTATGTGGGAGTCCAATGACGTAACCATTATGCCATCTGCTGGTCCAAAGTCTTGTTATAGTCATCCTACCATTCATCCCCACAGACGGGCTTCCACTCAGAAGCTGCAGGTTTTGCTCACAGACCCTCCTGCGAGAGCACAGCCTCCGTCAGGCCCGAGCTGTTGGGGCCGCGGTCGGTCCTGGATCATGGCTGAATCGAAAAACACATGTTTCTGGAAAACGTCAATAATGATCGGACCGTGCGAAGCACCAGAATGACACCCTTCTTTGTCTCATGTTCAGCTCGACGGCGTCAGGATCCACGTCGTCTTGGGGCTCAGCGAGCTTTAGCTCATCTATGGCCACATGGTCACGGCATGTCCCAGTGTCTGCCGACCTCTGTCCCCAAGCCTCCCAGTCTCCTTGGCTCCCTGTCACTCCCCTGGGTAGAGCGCTCTGGAGGCCAGAAGGAAGGAGGGAAGGGACATCACAAAAAGTGGCAGAAAAGGGCTTTCTGGTCCCTCACGGCTGGTGCAGGCCCCCTGTGGCTGGAAGCTCTGAGTCCTATGACCTAAAACTCCTGGGCGACACCATCCACGTTCGGCTCAGAGCGTCCCGGCCCCTGCTAACGTGCCTCTCCGTGAGGCTGGGCACTGACCCGTCACAGGGCCTACCTTGTGTGCTCAGTCTCAACTCCACGTGCATCAGGGTGAGGGAGGGCTCCCTGCAGGCATGCCGAGTCTCTGCCTGGGCCAGTCCTGAGCTGGACCCAGTGGGTGACCCAGGGAGGAAGGTCACAGTCTGAGGGCCTTCAGGCCACGCTGAGGGCACACCCCCAGGACTAGGAACCGTGAGGGCACTCTGAGGCCATCGTGCCAACCGGACTCCAGGTCTAGAGCTGGGGGTTCACAGACAGGGCTGCCCAAAGGCCTTGCGTAGACACCCCCGGAGGAGAAGCAGGCCAGCATCTGTCCCCCAGGGCTTCTCACCCTGACCACAGAAACCAGGGTGAGTCACTGCCCCACCCCCACTGGCAGGAAGCCTGGCCTGCCATCCTGGGGGACGTGGGAGAGATCAGATGGCGGGTGGGTGGTTAGTGGGTGCAGTGGGACGAGGCTTCCTCACCGGAAATAGCCCCTGCAGCTCCTCTCCCCTGGGCTCAGAGGGCAGTGCAGGGTTCCCGGGGGGTCCCACCCCAGAGGCTCCGCTCCTCAGCTTCCTGCATTTTCTGGCCTGCTCTAGGAATAGAACCCAGAGGAGTCGAACAAGGAAGCAGCCGGCAGAGAGAAAAGCAGAAGTGAGAGCCTTGGAGGCCCGACCCTCCCTGGGCAAGGCTGAAACCTCAGGTCTGGCGGGGCCTGGCGCCACCGCGGCGTCCACTGTACTGGAGAGATGTCCCCACGGGCCTGGGCCTCCTGGCTGCCCTCAGCTCTGCTGCTGCTCTGGGTCCCAGGTAAGGGGCTCTCTGCCCAGGGAGGGGCTTCAGGACGGAGGAGGGAGGGCATGGGGTCACATGAGGCGCCCCAAGTTGGACTCAGCCAGGAATGCAGAACGGAGATGTCTGTCCACCACGTAAGATGGACAGACTGAAGGACCACACCCCAGAAGCGGGAGAGGTGAGGGTCTCTCCCTCCTCTGCACCCACCTGACTGGACGAGCCACAGCAGGAAGCCGGGAAGCAGGCAAGGACAGCTTGCAGCAGGGGCCTCGCAGGCTGTTGGCAGATGGATTGCAGCAGGAAGGAGGGAGGGAGACAGGATGTGTCGGCAGAGCTCTGGGTGTGCCTGAGGGGCGTGCGTTTGGGGCAGGCACCCTCTGGGTTCACCAGCTTGGGCTGCAGCGGAAGGAGGGGCTGGAGCCGAGCAGGTGGGGACCTCAGGGGTGGGAGGCTCAGCCAGGGCGGTGGGAGCCTGAGCAGGGGAGCTTGGTCTGGGCCTGCAAGAGCGGGACTGGTCTCCAGGAGGGGAGGAGACGCTGTGGAGAGAAGGGACAAGATCTTTTCCCAGAAGCCTTCCCTCGAGGCCGGGCCACGGTTCGCCCCAAACTTGGCTTCCCGCTCTCAGCAGCGGACAGTGCTGCCCGCCCTAGTCCTGCGGCCTCCTTGGCTGGTTCTGGGCTATTGAGGCTGCCCTGTTAATGCGAGGCAGGTTTTCTTCAATCGCGTGTGCTCCCAGCCGTCTGCACCTCCTGCGCGTTAACCTGGACACTGCCCACCCTCGTGTTCTGGTGCTTCTGTGAGCTCCTGGGCGTTCTCAGTTTTCCCGCAGCTGTGGGCCCTGCGAGTTCATGGTTTCGGTTTCTCTCTCATTGATCCTGGGCTGGTGGAAACAGAAGGCTGCCCGGCGGCCTCCCTTGGAAAGGTGCCGCTGGTTTCAGGGTGTCGGAGGGCGTCCGTGAAGCCTTTCCTGTGGAGACAGGGCTGCAGGGTTGGGTGCTTCGGGTACCTGCGATGATTATCTTCCTTTGCGCCATTAAGGAGGTGAGCCCCATGACGAGATCTGGCCAGATTTTAGTGTTGATATCTTAGTCAGGAGAACAGGGCGAGGTCCCCGTTTCTACGTTCCCTGCACACGTTTAAATCAAGCTGGAATAGTTTGTTCCTTGAAGGTCTGAAGACCTAACTTTCGTGAGCATTTTCTCTCTCTGGAAGGGAAAGGACTTCACAATAATAGTCATTATTGGTCTATGTTAGGAAATCTACAAAGGGTCTTCCCAAAGCTCATGGGAAGCACAAATTATGAAAAACCTATGTGTGTTAAATTTTAAAAAAATGTTCACAGGAGGGAGTGTGTGTGCTCATCGGGGGGAGGGAGAGAGAGAACATGAAAAAGTGCCCACCTCCCCCAAGGAGGATGACCACGCCACGATCTCTTCTTTTCCATTCTTCTCTCAGAATTTTGGACACACACACACACACACACACACACACACACACCAGTGTGTTCTTCAAGCCTCCAGTTCTGGAACTCGAACTGCGCAGTTGCCATGTGGGATCCAGCTGCCTTAACCACCCCATAGGAATCCAGTTGCCTTCACCACCACACCACCGGCTGGCCCAAGATTGCGAATTATTTTACACTAAAGAAACGTGTGTTTTTTGTTTATTTGCTTGCCAGAGATGCGCGTGCTCACCAGGAGACAGAGAGAGGACTCCGTCAGTGCAGCTCGGTTACGCCGCGATCCCTCCTCGCCCATTTGTCCACCCTGCTGGGATCCGGGCGTGCATGCACATGTGCGCAGCATGGTGTTCAAGCCATTGGGGCTGGAATTTGAACTGAATGGTCGGCCGTGTGGGGTCCAGCTGCCTTAACCCCCAGGCCACAGAGCCAGCCCTAAACACATAACTTAATTCCCTTTCCCACAAACATCTCTTCTTTATTTTTATTCATGACAGGGCACATGTGCTTGCATGAGAGAGAGAGAGGGAGGGAAGGAGAGGAATGAGCGCCCTCCACAGGGCCCGCTGACGCCGCCATCCCCTTCTCCAGTCCCCCAGCCCATGGGAGCCCGGACCCCATGCCAGCACTGGTGCGTTTCAGGCAGACGAGGCTGGCAGGGATCCGAACTGCGGTCGCCATGTGTGATCTGGCTTCCCCTGAGCAGCTCTGGCACCACGGAGCTGATCCTACCCTCGTATTGTGTATGTTGGTCACTTACATTTCCTAGGAGATAACTAGCTCCACGTAGGTTACAGGTGTGTAGAGACAGATTGCCCCAGTTCTTTTTGTCTGTGTTTGTATGTGGGTCTTCTCTCTCCCTCTTTTAAATTCAGGTACCTGCTCTCTGTCTATTTTATCGTTCGCCCTTCCCGAAAGAAAAGTGAGCTTCTCAGCCTAGGCGCCCGTTCCGTGTTTTTCTTTCCCATCTGGCTCATTTCTGCTTTGACGTCACTCTTCCCTTCCTCCTGTGTGGGGTGTACACCTGAGCTCCTCTTCTGGCTTGATGGTTTTTTTGCAGTCTATTTATTTATTCCATCCGTGAAACAGAGGGAGAGACACACAGAGAGACAGAGATACAGCACTCCGGACAGAGTCTTGATGCCATGATCCACCCCCAGCCTCAGGGACGTCTCTGGACTTGAACCAATAACCCTCCCATGTGGGTGTGCTTCACGGAGCATGGCGTTTTCCTGCTGCGCCCCCATCCAGCCCCTGTCTCCTGACTTCTTGAGTTAGTTGATTCACTCATTTATCCAGGACTTAGTGAGACTTTCGTGATCCTAAAGTCAGACATGAAGACCGCAGAGGAGCAGCCGAGATGAGCTGGGAAGATAGTCAGGGCCGTGGCCTCGAGGCCTGCTCTGGTCTGTGGTTGTGGGCAGGCGCTGGGAGTCGGTGAGAAGGCTTAGCTGGGAGAGCACAGAAGAGCAAACCAGGACTGTCGCTGTGTGTTATAGTGTTCCAGGCAACAGGAGACGCAAGGCCAGGCTCTGTGGTCTGATGAATAAGGCAGCCAGATCCCACGTGGCTGACCGTGAGTTCAAATCCCAGACCTGGTGGCTGGGAGCACACCCCAGGCTCATGTGCTACATACTCTTGCAGGTTGGGCAGGCCTCCTGGGAGACTGGGTGACATGTTTTCATCCAAGTTTTCAGATATAGAATGTTTTCAAAAAGCTAGCTTAACAGAACCCAGACACAAAAGCAGATTCTTCTGTGACCCTGTCCACTTTTCCTTGGCCAACACTCCTGAGCACCCCAGGACCCATCATACCCATGACAGGGCTCGGGAAGGCCACATCCAAATGGGATCTGTACATCCAGGCCTGAAGGAGGGCAGAGGTGGAGTGGGGAGGGGCTCGCGCACAAGTGTTCTGGAGGGTCTACCGTGTGCCAGGCATTCTGGACACAGACGGGCTAAGGAGGAGGACCCTGTCCCTGGCTTGCATTCTTGCATTCTAGTGGTCCCAAAATATTAAGTGAAGGGATTTAAGAACCTAAAAAAGTGGACCAGCAGGTGGCGTAGTGGTTAAGGAGCCAGACTCCTACATGGCCTACTATAATTCGAATCTGGACTTTGTGGCTTGAAAATCAGGCCAGGCACGTGTGCATGTGTGCCCCCCAAAAAATCCTGAGAGGAGAGTGGAGGAGAAAGGATTGCAGCAGGGCCATCTCCCCTGGGGGAGTGTTTCCTCACTTCCCTTCTCTCTGTGTCTCTCTGTCTCTCTCTGGCAAGCACACATGCCCTAAGGCACAAATCTAGAACAAAACACTACCTGAAAAACTACCTGGGGTGAAGGAGTTCTAACCCTAGACAGTGAGAGCAAGCCACCCCTCCCTGCCACTCCCACTGTCGGACCCGATCGCAGCACTACGGGTGGTGAGGAGCTGCGCGCACAACCGCCCAGTGACCGACACAGCCATCGGCTCAGAACTCACTCTCACAGCCAAAGGGCGCGTGCGCAGCCAAAATCCCAGAAGGAGGGAGAGATGGAGGAGGGGTTGGGGTGAGGCCATGCTCCATGGAGGTGCTTTCTCACTTTCCCTTTGTCTCCATCTCTCCCTGACAAGCACACATGCCCTCTGGCAAAACAAATAAATAAAATATTGGAAATTAAGAAGAAAAAAAATGAGCTTCCTTGAAAGTTAAGCCTGTGGGGCCAGCAGGTGGCAACATAGGGGTAAAGGCGCTGGACTCCCACATGGCAGAAGGTGGTTCATGTCCCAGACCTGGCAGCTTGAAAAATCAGGTGCGTGTGTGTGCGTGCCTCAAATCCCAGGAGGAGAATGGAGAAGGGACTGAGTGGTGACCATACCCCCTGGAGGGGGGTGAGTTCTTAATTTCCCTCTCACTGTCTCTCACTTTCCCTCTCACTGTCCTCTTTCTCCTCTCTGCGGGACATACACTCTATGGCAAAAACCTTGGAAGAAAGAAAGAAAGAAAGAAAGAAAGAAAGAAAGAAAGAAAGAAAGAAAGAAAGAAAGAAAGAAAGGGAGAAGGAGAAAGAAAGAAAGAGCGAGCAAGCAAAAACGAAAGAAGAAAGAGAAAGAAAAAAGAAAGAGAGAGAGAAAGCCAGTGCGAGCCGGGCACACGGGGCAGGATGGCGGGAGGTGGTCGTCGGGCACATTGTGTGCGACCTTTCAACTCACACTTCATCAAGTGCGTCCAGCTCTCCTGCCAAATGGGTTGGACCTGATTTCTGCTCTGGCTCATGACCCTTGGTGGGACCAGACTGGCTCCTGGGCTGTCCCCCCACCTCCTGGGGCAGCCAGGACTAGGCTGGCCCTTGGGGAGAGCATGGTGCTGAGGACTGAGTTCTTAGGTCCTGGCAAGTCTGGAAGCAGGAGGCCCCTGGTGGGTGAGAGGGACGGGCATATCGGGGTCTGGAGGAAGGGGCTGCTGTGATCAAAGCCTTAGGGCTGCTAGAGCGAAAGGGTAGAAGCCCAGGCTTTGGGACTGGGTGCTCAGGCCGGGAGTGCTGGGTGGGGGCCTTGCAGGGACCCACATTCCAGGGCCCCCTGCCCAGGCCGTCTGGTGAGTGCCCATGCTCGGGCTTGTGTGTTGCAGGCTGTTTCTCCCTGAGCGGCCCCAGCACTGCGAGGGGCACCGTGGGCGGGTCCCTGAGCCTGCAGTTTCGGTACCAGCGGGAATTCCAGGCAGATAGCAAGTACTGGTGCAGAAAGTCACTTACGCCGCTTCGCCTGCTCTGTGACAAGATCGTGGAGACCCGGTACAGAGCTGGATGTGCGGAGAGCCCGAGTGTCCATCAGGGACCATCCTGCCAGCCTCACCTTCACAGTGACCTTGGAGAACCTCACAGAGAAGGACGCAGGCACCTACTGGTCTGCGATTGACCAGCCCTGGGACCTGGACACCCACGTGCAGGTTGTGGTGTCTGTGTACCCCGGTGAGCCCCTGTATGTCAGCCCCAGGGCTGCCCACAGAGATGGAGTAGCTGGGGCAGAATCAGAGCAGAGACGTGGAGCACACTGTGTGTGAGGGAGGGAGGGAGTGTGAATGAGGGAGTGAGTGAGTGAGTGAGCAAGGGTGTGTGTGAGTGAATGAGGGTGTGTGAGTGTGTGACCAAGTGAGTGTGTGTGTGAGCAAGGGTGTGTGTGAGTGAGTGTGTGAGGGTGTAAGTGAGTGTGTGAGAGCGAGTGTGTGTGAGTGAGGTATGTATGAGTGTGTGAGGAAGTGAGTGTGTGTGAGTGAGTGAGGGTGTGTGAGTGTGTGACCAAGTGAGTGTGTGTGAGTGAGTGTGAGGGTGTGAGTGAGTGTGTGAGAGCGAGTGTGTGTGAGTGAGGGTGTGTGTGAGGTATGTGTGAGTGTGTGAGGAAGTGAGTGTGTGTGTGAGCGAGGGTGTGTGTGAATGAGTGTTTGTGAGCGTGTGAGCAAGTGAGTGCATGAGTGAGCGAGAGTGTGTGTGAGTGAATGAGTGTGTGAGTGTGTGTGAGTGAGTGAGTGTGTGAGGGTGTGTGAGTGAGTGAGTGAGTGAGTGTGAGTGAATGAGTGTGTGAGAGTGTGTGTGAGTGAATGAGTGTGTGAGAGGGTATGTGAGTGAGTGAGTGTGTGTGAGTGTGTGTGAGTGAGGGTGTGTGTAAGAAAGAAACAGAGAAAGAGAAGAGGAGGTGAGGAAGAAGGAAGAGAGTGAGGGAGGGATGGGGACCAGTCAAGGAGGCATCTGGGAGCCCCGACCTCTCTGCCCAGTTGTGACGCAGGGAAGGTGCTGCCGGGCGGGCGAGCAGAGTGTGCCAGGGCGAGCGGAGGCCCCCGCGGGTCCATCCCAGAAACCGCTCACAGGAGGCCAGGCAGGCAGGGCCAGGCGGTGCGGGCTGAGCGCAGGGGGCGCTCCGCCAAGTGACAGGTCAGGCTCGCAGTTCAGACAGGCTTCTCCGGCAGCGCGTGGCTGTCCCGGGGCAGACCAGGCATGGGGAGGTGGTAAGGCTCTAAGGACAGCCCTGACCCTGGCCAGCAGGACAGAACTGGGACTATTGGCGCAGTACTTGGCCCAGGAGGGTCCTGGGAGACTCTGACCCGGCTCCCTCCTCCTGTCCCTTCCTGAGTGAGCACGGGGTGAGAAATTAAACCAAGAGGGCATTGGCAGGGAGTCAGAGGAGAGAGCCCGGCTCTGATCCGTGGTTTTGCCACCAGCAACAACGTTGACGACACCGACAAGAGTCACTGTGGGCAAGACCTCGACAGCCGCGACCAAAGCTCCCACTGTGCCATACACTACCCAGGCAGCAGAGAGTGCCAGCCACAGTGTGGGCAGCCAGGAGGGCGACCCTCAAGGCCAGAGCCCAGGGTAAGGCCCCCGAGTCCCCCCACTGGAGCTGTGCCTTGTCCTCAGGGGCAGCTTGGGCTTGGGTCATTGGTCGTGTGGGGGTGCGGTCTCAGCACTGCTGACCGGGACCTGGGGCTGGAAGCCACAGCTGGGATTGCTGAGGCCTGAACCTGCCCTAGGCTTCGAGAGGGGGTCAGGAGGGGAGGAGTTGAAGGACGGAAGGACGGAAGGAAAGGAAAGCGTATGGAGGCTGGCGTCCTGCCAGGCACGGGCTGACCGCTTCACACATAGGAGCTCACTCGCTCTCTGTCACAAGCCTGTACAGTTGCCACCCTCACGTTGCAGATGAGTGAACTGAGGCTCAGAGAAGCGAAGAGATTTGCCCCATGGCATGACCATAGGAGGCAGGGCTGGGCTTCTAATTCAGGTGTGTGACACTCCAAAGTCCTGGGCCCTCTCCTCTAAATTGGGGCTACCCTTTTGGGGGGCGATCACCAGACCCGCAGAGAATCTGACAATGTCTATACTCTTTCCAGAAAAATGCATGTGCTCAAAACCATTTCTGGAATTCATAGACCCCCTACCCTGACCCCAGCTGGGCACTGCAGCCCCACTCTGGCACTGGCCACCTGGAGTTAGTGCAGACCCGACAGGCTACAAGACCACCCTCATTCAGATGTCAGCCAAACTTGGCAATTCCCCAGCACCACGTTTCTGACCAGTTGGGTACAAATTCAAGCATTCCCATGACACCTGTGGTTCAATAATGAGCTAGACTCGGAAGTCTGAAAGCGCTAAGCTTATCACTATGGTTGTATTACAAAAGTAAAGACCAGGACCAGCCAATGAGGAGACATGTAGGGCAGGAGTGGGCGGGTCTCCAGCAGAGATTCCACGCCCTCTTCCTGTAGAGCATCACCTTCGGAGACATCAGTGTGTCCGCAGCCAAGAAGCTCCACTCATCCTCGGTGTCCAGAACTTTTACTGGGGTCTCATTACAAAGGCGTGATTGATTCATTGTCTGTGATTGAAATGTCCCTGCACTGGTGGCTGGGCTGGCCCAGAGCCCCAGATCTCCAATCACATGGTTGGTCTTTCTGGTGACCAGCCCCCATCCTGTCATCTCATCTCTCAGCAAAACTCGGGTGTGGTCCATGAATTACAAAGCCACTCCTATTACCTGGGAAATTCCAAGGCTTTAGAGCCTCCCTCCCAGGAACCAGGGACAAGGGTCCCTTTATTTTCAAGCACCCCTGCCACAGACTGCCTGCCAACCCAGAGTCACAATCTTTCCTTCTTTTTTTTTTTTTAATAATTATTTATTTAATTTTATTTATTCATCCATTTATTTTAATTTGACCAGAGAGAGACAGAGAGAGAGAGGGGAAGTGAGAGAGCAAGTCACCAGGTCCAGGACTCGAACCGTGGTCGGCCATGTGTGAGTGGTGGCCTTAACCCCCACATCACCCTCTGGTACCCTCTTCTTTCTTTTTTAAGGTTTTTGCCATAGGGAAGGTGCACTTGCTGGAGAGAGACAGAGACAATGAGGGGGAAAGTGAGAAATCACCACCCCATGGGGAATGGCCACACCGCAGTTTTTTCTCCTCCATTTACTTCTCTGGATTTGGGGCACACATACACACATTCGTACCCAGTATGATCCTCAAGCCACCAGGTCTGGGACTTGAACCATGATCAGCCATGTAGGAGTCCAGTGCCTTAACCACTATGCCACCTGCTGGCCCCAGGCTCAAAAATCTTAATATCAGACAGGACAAAATTCAGGTTCCAAACATTCCAGAAGTTCCCCCGTGGGTACACACAGAAGGGATTATAGCATGACCACGCCCCCTGGGGAGTCCTGTCTCCTCTGTCTCTGTCTCCCCCTGGCAAGCACATGCGCCCCTGGCAGTAACAGAGAGAAGCTGGGAGGGCGAGCTGGCCGCACTGACGGACTGACGCCCCTGCCCAGCCCCAGTCTCTTGCTGCTGCTCTCCCTGCTGCTGCTGCTGCTGCTGCTACTGGCTGGGGCCTCGCTGCTGGCCTGGAGGATGTTTCGGAGGCAGGCCAAAGGTGAGTTAGCCCCCACCCCACCCCAGGGTAGGCCCAACCTTGTCCCTGGTCCCTCGGCTTCTCAGCTGTCCTTGTTCCCTTGAATGGGTGTCAAGTACAACCCCTCAGACCACTGATCCCTGCGACCCTGGAGGGCAGGCCTCGAGGAGGTGGACCTGGGGGTAGCTGCTGGTGGTGACTGAGCTCTTGGGAAGAGCTCAGCCCGACATATCTGTGTGACACTTCCTCTTTCCCATCTGCTTCTCCGGTCATTTTTCGGCACCCCCCTCCTGAGTTCGGCTGACCACACTGCTGACCGAGTGGGGATTTCCCAGGCTCTGTCCTGGAGTCCCAGCTGTCTCCTGGGTGCCCTTTCACCTAGAAAGCCTCCTGCTCATCAAAGAGCCTCCTGCCCTTTAAAAAGCACACACTCCTTAAGGCAAAAAAAAAAAAAAGAGAGAGAGAGAAACCGTCATTTTTTGCACTTAATAAACTGTGCACTGTCCTGCTATTAACTGTTGGGAAAATGGCAGCCCGCAGAGCTCACGGTGCAGAGCTCCCAGTGCAGAGCTCATGGCGCAGAGCTCACGGTGCAGAGCTGGGCCGTCCTTGTTTACGGGCTCCCCAGCAGCAGGAGAAAGGCTTCCTGCTCAGACATGCTGGCTCTTGGCCCCCTGCTTTTCAGCCCCCTCTTCCCTTGTCCAGCAGTGTCCCTCTTGGCTCCCGGCAAAGCCTGGGGCCGCCTTCCTCCTCACCCGGCCTAGGACCCTCCCTACTGACCACGGCACTCCCAGCTCTTCCCCACCCAGCCCACTCCTGCCATTCATTCGCTCATTCCTTCACTCACACCACACAGCTGCCCTGAGCACCTCCTGTATGCCAGGCCTGTGCCAGGCTTGGGGGACACCGCTGTGACCAGGGCAGACTGGGTCCCTCCTTCAGTGGGCTACTCATGCAACTGGCTCCCCCAGACCTCCTCACTGCACTGAACTCCCAGCAGAGCCCTGTCCTAGGCGAGAGGGAGGGCGGCCTGCAGCACACGCAGCTCTCAGAGACCGAAGCTCACACCGCAGAGTGCCCAGTGTGTGCTAAAGTCAGCCAAGGGCGCAGCTAGCTCGTGGGCCCTATGTGGACCTGTGAGCTTCTTTGCTTGACTTTGGGGGCTCCCTGAGGGGCAGGCTGGCCTCTCCCTGTGACATCCAGTGAGGTGGGCTCTGGGGTGGACCCAGAGCAGGTCATCAGCTGTGCATATGTTATTGGCTGCCCACCTGCTCCTGGGTCCCCGTTGGAAGGGTCAGTGTGTACAGAGCTGTGTGCAGAGGCAGGACAGACACCCCCAGGCAACAAATGGGTGCCAGAAACAAAGGTGGGGTGAGCCTGAGCTCTGAGCCCACAGAGCTGACAGCCTCCTCCCTCCGGCTTCTGGGGCAGCAGGCAGTGGTCCAGCAGTCAGGGCCAGATGCCAGGCTCAGGGGGTCAGGGCAGATGCCCTGTTGACTTCTCGTGGTTTGGGGCAGCCCTGGGCTCTGCAAGGACAGGTCCTTCAGGGGCACCTTCTGTCTTCTCTCACTGGGAACGGTTCTGAGTGACCCCTTGAGTTTGCTTTGACCCCTCCGCCCCCACTGGGACTTTGCCAGTTGCTTGTTCACTCGCTCCCTTGTTTATTCACGAATTCATTCACTCATTCATTAATTCACTTGCTCAGCAAACCCTTGAGCTTCTGTCATGCGTCAGACCTGAAGGGATCGGTCTCCAGCACTGAGGTCTTTCAGAAAGGGCCCTTTTCCAGATGGATTAAGGGTCCCCGTCCCTGCCCTTGTTCTCGAATTCACCCTAACTTTCTTCCCGCCTTTAGCTGGGGAGTATGCCGGGCCAGTCCAGAACCCCAGACAGGTAAGGGAAGGCTACAGCCCCGACCAGGAGGCGTGCTGATGTGGCTGGGGGTGGGGCTCAGAGGATGCCGGGGTTTGGACAGTCCCTTCGGCCAGTGGAGGTGCTAAGTGGGTCCTAGTGGGTGGAGAGAGCTGCTTGCCCAGAGCTGGGAGAGCTGCTCTGTCCCCAATAGGACCAGCCTGTCCCTTCCCACAGGGGAAGTGGAATTGGGGGTGCTTCTCCCAGCCAGTGGGGGTGGAGGGAGGTGGGGCAGTGGGGACTAGGGCACCCAGAGCTGGAAGGGAAGAAGGGACATTGGCAAAGAAGCAGGGACAGAGGCCGCAGGGGCTCCCCAGGCACCCCCCCAGCCCCTGCACCGTCATCCACCCCAGGCTGTGGAGCAGAGCGAGCCCCACTACGCGAACCTGGAACTGCAGCCGTGGCCCCTGCGGGAGGAGCCAGCCCCGCCGTGGCAGGGGGGGGGGGGGGGGGGGGGGGAGCCAGCCCCGCCGTGGCAGGCGGAGGTGGAGGTGGAGTACAGCACAGTGGTAAGCACGAGAACCTGCTCCGGGCACACAGCGTGTGGGTCCTGGGCCGGGCAGTGGCACCCCTGGGGGTGGAGACAGGCAGAGGGGAGCCAGGGGCTGCCGGGTGATCTTGTGCCTCTCCAGGACAGGGCCACACAGAAGAAGAGCAAGTGTAGGTTTTGCCAGAGCAGAGATGTCACCGTGGCTGGGGTGTGGGGACAAGAGGGCTGGGGTGGCCAGTGAAGACGCCCTGACGGTTGAGAAAGCACGGCTTTGTTAAGCTCCTGTGAATGGCAGACACCCGGGGATGCTTTCCCACTCTCTGGCCCCTCATCTCTTTGGGGAGACTCTGCTCTCGGGGTCTTGTCCACAGCCTGCTGTGGGCTGGCCCTTGGGCACGGCCAGCGTAAAGTGCACTGGCTGCCTCCCTGGGTGGTGACCTGCTTGTCAGCGGAAGGAGCCAAGCGAAGGCTGGGGAGAGCTGAGATAGCAGACGGGTACCTCCCACCCCAGGCCTGTGAGCCAACACAGCCCTTCTCTAATATGTAACCGCGTGAGGCCAGGGCGGGCCGGGCCAGGGACAGCCACCCTGTCGCAGGCCTGCTCTGGAAATGTGGGCCGGCACCCTGGGGTGTTCCAGCCTGCACCGTCCACCCTGGGCTGCTGTTCCTGCACGGTGCAGGGAAGCAGGGCTCTGGTCCCCTGGAAGCCATGCCCCTTCCCGCCCTCCCACCAGCTGTCACCCGAAGCTAGTGTGGGAGCCCAGAGTCCTGGTTGCACCCAAGGGAGCGTCTGAGGAGCCAACACAGGCTGTGACACAGCAGCTGGGCTGGGCTGCAGGGACCCCGGCGGTGGTCTAACCCGGCCCCTCCTCACATGACAGTCTCCTGTCAGCACAGCTGTGTGGGCCTGGGTCAGCAACAGCCCTGCTTCTGCCCTGACAAGCTCCCAGTGGGCTGGGGGCCTGGTGGTCCTCTTCTGCCAGCCTCTCTGCGATGGTCAGGACTTGCACCCACAGCACAGAGTCACAGAGCTGCAGGCCGGTGCCATGCCCTGAGCCTGCCCGGGCTCAACCTCGAGAGCTGGGGTCCTTGGCAGATGCTTCTGAGTCACCCAAAAGGCCCATGCCTGCTTCCTTGCCAGGACAGGTAACCAGGAGGAACACAGAGGCGCCTCGGGGGGCCAGCAGACATCACTGGCCCCCGTCTCCTGGTTCGTAGACGTAACAGGCTGGGTCAGGCCAGAGGATCGCAGGGACCCCTGGCTCTGATGCCTTCAGACTTTGTGCTGGGCTTGACCGGGGAGGTAGGTGAGGAGGGTGGACAGGATCGTGGTGCCCCATCCTTCCAAGAGAAAGAAGGCAGGACAGTGGGGGGCTGGAGCCCCCAGTACCCTCCCTCCTCCATGCTGAGCTGGGATCCTGTCTTGCACCTGCCCCTCCCTGAGTCTTGGGTCTCTCTCTACAGGCAGCCCCCAGGGAAGAGCCTCAGTACGCCTCCATGGTCTTTGACGTCCAGAGCCAGGATTCTAGCACCAGCAGGAGTCTCTCCCAGAGGCCCCTGGGGGAGGAACCAGAGTACAGCGTGGTAAAGAAGAGATAGGCCTCAACCTGGCCTCCCACAGGAGCCTGGGGACAGCCCCTCCCCACAGCCTCTCAGCCTGTCCTCCACCATGGCCACTGAAAGGCAGCTGGCCCCAGGGGGCCCTTCTGAGGTCCAGCAGGGACAGGGCTCCATCCCGCTGGTTCTTGTCTTTCCTCTTGACTCGATGTCTTCCTGGCTCTGTGTGTGGAGGTTGGAATCCCAAGTCCCCTGTGGTCACATAGGCCGGCACCATGGATAGCTTCATAAAACCCGGCTCCCTGGAAAGCTCCGGGCTTCCTTTATCTGGTGGCAATGACCTCCCCACGAGCACATGCCTCTCGCAAAGGACCTCCTTCACCCCTCTCCAGAGGAGAAGAGGAAACACAAGAAGCAGCGCCTGGTGCAGAGCCCGAATTCCTACTTCATGGATGCGAAGTGCCCGGGATGCTATAAAAGCACCACAGTCTTGGGACCAGCAGTTGGAGTAATGGCTATGTCGCTGGGCTCCCATGTAGTCGACAGCAGTTCGAGTCCCGGACCTGGTGGCTTAAACTCGCGCCAGGCGCGTGTGCGTGCATGCCCAAGATCCTGAGAGGAGAATGGAGGAGAAGGGATTGCGGTGTGGCCCTCTCCCCTGGGGGCTGATTTCTCGCTTTCTGTCTCTCTGTCTGGTGAGCGCATGCGCCCTATAGCAAAATCCTCTCAAAAAAAAAAATCACCCCCATCTTTAGCCATGCACAGACGGTACTTTTGTGCACTGGCCGCTCCTCTGTCCTCTGCCAGCCCCCAGGAGGAAGAGCGAGGCTCACAGAAGGATGTTCCTCAGGAGGAAGCAGCACTAAAGTACCCTGGCTCAAGATGAGTGGGAAACCATCCCAATAAACACATTTTGGATAAAAAAATAAAAGAAAGAAATCTCCAGGCTTGCTGGGGGATGAGGGGACCAGCAGGATGAGCCGGGAGGGGGCACAGGAGGAGAGGTGTCCATGTGTGTGGTCAGGGGAAGGTAAGGGGGCACCAAAGGTCAGATCCCTCCCATCGGAGACTGAGGCCCAGGAGAGGAGAGGCTTCCCCAGGTCTCCAGAACTGGCCCTGAGGTCCTCTGGACCCTTAGGTTTGTTTTTAATAGATGTGATACAAAGAAAGTTTCAAATATCTTATTCAGGGAGAATAAACTGTTATTTAACAAGGCCTGCTCTGTGCGTACTCCTGTATTGAAGGAAGCTCCTGGTGCTACCGCCAGCTAAGTCCAGCTGCTGCTTCTCACGGTCAGCGAAACCAGAGGCAGAGGCTGGAAAGGAGGAGCTCGTATCTGTAACCGGCTCCAGGGAGACGGTTAGCAAGCACCAGCAAAGAGTCTCTACAACACAATACGTTCTCGGTATTTATGGAAACAAGACCCACGCAGGTGCAGACATTCCTCTCCACAATCAGCCGATGGCTTTCCCCTGCGCCATTGTCCTGATCGCTCTCTGACTTCAAACGCCCACCCCTGGTTTCTCATCTGACCATTCCTCAAAGAGGAATGGCTGTCGTCCCGCTAGACCTCAAACTGACCTGGAAGGGACCAGCAGTTTGCGTAATGGCTATGTCGCTAGACTCCCATGTAGTCAACCTCAGTTTGAGTCCCAGACCCGGTGGCTTAAACTCACACCGGGTACGTGTGTGTGTGCGTCCAAGATCCCGAGAGGAGAATGGAAGAGAAGGGATTGAGGCGTGGCCATCCCCCTGGGAGGTGATTTCTTGCTTTCTGTCTCTCTGTCTCTCTCTGTCTTTCTGGTGAATGCATGCTCCCTATAGCAAAAAAATCTCTCTAAAAAAATTATATATTTTTTTTCATGAAAAGAAAGAAAGAAAGAAAACTAGCCTGCCTCTTTGGCTTTGAGACCCAGTGAGCACAGGGAAGTACGAGGGTGCAACAGGTTGGGGATGTCTGGGAGATGCCACCACCGGGGGAAGAGGTCCAGTTGTGTCTCTATGATAGAACACGGCAGGGCTTTCTTGCTGGAGATATTTCTGAGTGCAATGCCAACTGTTACCAGGCGGGCTTGGGCCTTTGGCAGCCCCAACGACTTTATACTTTAAGCACTCTCTTGACTGCGTGACATCTCAGCATAGTCTCAGTATTTTTCTTCCAGCTCTTAACGATAGGTGGATGTTCTGTTTTCAGTAAATAATGGTTGAAAACAAGGGATGTGGGGGCCGGCGAGTGGTTTGGTGGTTAAGGGTGCTGGATTCCAACCTTGGCGACTGTGGTTCATGCCCTATTCACTTTCTCTCTCTCTCTCTCACTCTGTCCCTCTCTGATCAAATTAAAATAAATAAATAAAATAATTCTCTCTCTTTTTTTTTTGGAGAGGTTTTTGCTATAGGGCGCATGCGCTCACCAGAAAGACAGAGAGAGACAGAGAGACAGAAAGCGAGAAATGAAATCACCCCTTGGGGTGGTGGCCACGCCGCAGTCCCTTCTCCTCCATTCTCCTCTCGGGATCTTGGGCATACACACACACGCGCCCGGTGTGAGTTTTAAGCCACCAGGTCCGGGACACGAACCGCGGTCGGCTACTTGGGAGTCCAGCAACATAGCCATTACGCTAACTGCTGGTCCCAATAGAATAATTCTTAAAAAAAAAAAAAAAGGAAAGAAAACAAGGGATGCAGGTCCCTTAACTCGAGGGTTTGACCACGACCTCATACCCAGTGTGCCCGCTGAGCAGGGTTCTGCAGGATGGGGCCACACGTGCAGGTCCTGCAGGGCTACGTGGCCTCCGAAGACTGGAGAGGCGCCGTGCTGCTCAGTGTTTTCTTTGAATGTTTAGTTATTGTGTGTGTGAGCATGTACGTATGCGGTATCATCCCAGATACGATTTCCTCTTACTAATGTTCTGAGTCGCAAAGGAGGAAACACACATGTGTGCACACACCCACACACCCACACACCCACTGCCGGCATCACTCTGCGTAGGGAGGCTGGACAGAGTCAGTGTCCGCAGCGGGCCCTGTGGTGCAGCTCACAGAGCCCGAGATGCGCTCGGCTCTGCCTCAGGGCCTCGGCCATGGCTCTGTCCTGTCTGCCCATATAAACTCCCTACAGACAGACTCCATTTCCCTCTGGAGCATGCGGGGAAGCTGTGACCCCCAGATAACAGATGGAGGCCATGAGCTGTGCGGGCACAAGCCCAGTGCACTCGAAGGACCACAGCTGGGCTGTAAAGTAGCGGGGGAGCAGGCTTCCTGGCATGGGGTGAGCAGAGTCACCTGTGGAAAGCCCCCTCTCAACCACAGCCCGCAGAACCAGCTCCTCCTGTCCCAAGGCGGCAGCCCCCACAACCTTCCTTCCTTCTCTCCCAGCCTCACCTGCGGCAGGCCCGACCACTGGCAGTGCTCACCCACTCGCTTGCTCACTCATTCCTTCATTCCACAGCATTTGGGATGACCTGGCTCAGGCCAGGCAGGAGGCTAGGCCCTGGGGGGCAAGGGCTCCTGCCCTGGGTGAACTCTCAGACATAGCAGGACACAGCTGCGCTCACTTCCAGCCCTGGGGGCTGTGGGCAGACACAGGTGATAGGAGACATCCTGCCAGAGTCCAGCCTGACCTGAGGGAAAGGAGAGCTGGCCTCAGAGGTTGATCACACTGTGGGTTAAAAAGAAGACAACAGATCCCGTTTCTTCTGTTCTCTGGGCTTAGAGCAAAGTGGAGAAAAGAATAAGATGGAACCACCATTGGTCAGCATCCCCGTGGAAAAGCACAGTCTCCAGCAAGAGCAGGAAATCTGTGCTCCACTGTGAGGCCAGATGATGCCACCCCCGGCATTCTGTCTGCCCCTGAGGGAAGCTGAAGGAAGTCTCCAGAGAGAGTGAGGAGGGATGTCTTCACCACAAACTTGCAGAGCCCCCAAAGGACAGGGATTGGGTATTCAAGCCCACTCTCGCTGCCTGCCCTGGGGCTGTTGTAGCAGACAGAATAAGGGGCTCCCAAGATGTGCACATCCTGATCCCCAGAACCTCCGAACATTGTTACAAGGCAAAAGGTACTTTTAGATGCAATTATATCATGGGTCTGGAGAGACTGGACTGTCCTAGACTATCCAAGTGGCCCAGTGACATCCCAAGGGTCTTTATAAGGGAGAGGGAGCAGACAGCGGTGCAGTGGTAAAACCCAACGCTCTGTGAGGTGACCCACATGGGAAAGTTCCTGGTTCAAGTTGGAAGGCCCCACTGAGTACACTGGGCACACGTGTGCCCATGACTGGGGCTGGCTGAAGCAAGGGGGTGGTGTAGGG